TTCTTCCTTCTTCTTCGTCTTCTTCTTCTCCCATACCAAAATCTCACTTCACCCTCCCCTGCAAACCCTACGTTTTTTCACCTATTCCCAAATACTGAAAACTCCAAATCGCTTCCAAGTCCATTGATGTCTCCAAAGAAGACAAACCCATCTTGGATCCGCCAACAGAATCGGTAGAGACCACAAAAGAATTCAATAAACGCATACTAGAAGAGAAATTCGCAGTCCTAAACGCCGGAATTTTCGAGTGCCAGTCGTGTGGATACTTGTACAAAGAAGCCGCCGGAGATCCATCATACCCGATAGCACCTGGTTTGTCGTTCGATAAATTGTCGGACGATTGGAGGTATCCGACGTGTGGTGCGGCGCAGACGTTATTTCAGAGTAAGAGTGTTGGAGATTGCGAGGTTCGCTCAGAATCAACGGTTTGGTTTTGGGGTAACACGCTCACCTCTGGCCAGAAGGCGATTCTTATCTACAGTAGCCTTTTCTTCTTCTTTGTATTGTTCTTGTCTGGTTATTTTCTTCAATGAAACACATATCTGGTGGTAACTGGAATTTTTGTAATCTGTATACCCTTCTCATATAAGTTCTGAATCTATTGTTCAGAGGTGAATGCAAAATATTTTGAGTTTAGAAGGTGAATATATCATATATATGTATATGTAAGTGATGTGGGTAGGATTTTTTGAGGTTTCTTGATGATTGATATGATTGTTGATATTGTTATTGATCTGGTTAACTAACATTCGAATTCAGAGGAGGAAAAACGAGAAAGAATGGTGAAGAAGATGGGGTTGTTGCAGGTACTTTCTATGAAGAAGGAGGGGTGGTGTTTGGGTATTAGCGTCCGAGAGAGAGAGAGGGAGGGTGGGGCCCTTTAATTAAATAATTATATTTTTTTCTTTTTTTTTAAATAGAGAAAACCTCATAAATGGTCTCTGTGTATTGAAATGACGAAAATGCCCCTCACTTAACGGTAGAAAGCTGACGGAGTTAGGCGGAAGGACCATTTGTTAAAAGTTTTGAAACCACATGGACCATCTGTGAGGTTTTTTGAACTTAGGGACTAAACTTGATATTTTCGGAAACCACAGGGACCATTTTTGAAGTTTTGTCTATAATATAAGTATTTATTTGGTTGGAAATGAATTTATGTCTGAAGTTAGGATTTTTCTGGATTTAACCGAAACTATTTTTTTTTTAAACAAGTTAATCCTAGTCCAAAACCTGTTAACCATTTCATGCTAAAAAATCTAACAAAAACCAATTTGGTTTTAACCGATATGGTACCTAGAAGAATTGATCTAACCAAATTGGATATTAAACCAGTTTCGCATTTCAACAAACTAGCATATAAAAATATGTTAACATTACGCGTTTGGTCTCTAACATTTTTTTTTTTTGCACTCGGACCGTCCCTATAGTTTCTTTTTGTTGCGATTTTCATCCCCAGCAGACAAGAAAAGACTAATATACCCTTATCAAAAAAAATTATACGTAAAATTAAATATTATATTATAGACTTAATTTTAAGTATTAATAAAAAACTTTGGGTCCCACTCATCTCCATCACCCTCATCCATTCCCTTCTAGACTTGAAGCCAGCCATCGTACGTCCAGCCCCTTCAAACTCATCACTAAACACCGATCTGCACCTTAAGTTCCAGTCGGAGCCTCCCGTCGGAAACCTGCAATTCTAAAGTAGTTGTTGCCATCAGTCAGCATGCTAACACCACCACCAGAATCCTGTAACCCTAAAGTCGCTGAAACATGCAACTTTTTTGTTCTTCTCCGCCTTCGTACGTCGTTCCTCTCAAGCCCCATTTATTCTGGTTCCGCCGACATCATCAATTTCATCTGGAAAATCGTCTTCCATCAATTTCATCATTTGGAAAATCGTATTTGAATTATGGGATATCAGGTTAGGTTTTTCATTTTGGGTAAAATCCCACAACATCATCGATTTTAAATACAAATGAATTTAATCCTATTCGCTTTTGGATTTGATTTATGGGATTTCATCATGGTTTTTTTCTTTCATGGATTTGATTTGAGGTTGCGTTCTCAACTTAGGTTCTGATTTATGGATTTCATTTTCGTTTCACTTAGGTTCTAAAGGATTTCGGGATTTGACTTTGGTTAGTTTTTAATTTTAGAATTTGATCTTGGTCCAATTTGATTTCTGGGATTTGCTTTTGGTTTTGGTTTGGTCCAGGTGGTGATTGATTGTGGTTTGCAAGAGGTGAATGATGGTTTTAGTCGAGGAAAACCATAATGGTTTTCAAAGGTGAACATGGTGGTTCCTAGAGAAATAGGGTTTCGCCTGATGAATTGGATGATGTTGTCGACGGCCTAATTATGCAGGCGGTGGTGTTGCTGGTAGTGATGGTGGTGGTGGTTGAAAATGATCGGTTGTAGTGGTGGGAGTGGGTCATGTCTATAAATCATTTAATTCCTTTTTTAATTAATAAATAACAAACAAATAATAAAAACTAAAAATATACATATATAAAGGGTAATATAATCTTTTAATGTCTGTTTGGGACAAAAAACACAATAAAATCATACCACAAGGACAGCCTGAGTGCAAAAAAATATGTTGAGGACCACACGTGTAATTTTAAACAAACCACATGGAAAATTTCAGTAATTTACTCATAAAAATATCATAGTTCTAATTTTGTTAAAAAAACAGAGCATTATAAGCCTAATTCCAGGTTTCAACAAATAGATCCGAAAGAGTAAAAGTAAAACGGTACTTGTTTCATTCAATTCATCAGGCTTTTACATCGAGTTGTGAAGGAGAAGGCATGAAATCGCAAAATTAGGGGCATGGGTAATAAGGGACCCACCTTAGAATCTATCTAACCAAATTGGTTATTAAAAATAAAAAAATAAATAAAAACAGTTTCGCATTTCAGGTTAATATGCACCTGTATGTCACACATACCACATAAAAAGCCCAATAATGGAGCTGTCCAATGTCATTAATCAGAAATTTAACTTGGACAAGCGATTCATTCCTTTACAGTTAGTTCATCAATGAACACACGGACAATTAGTGAAATTGATCATCACAATCATTTTAATCTACGTTTTGACAAAAGAGCATACAAAACCACAACCTTACCTACAAAAGAGAAGTATCAACAGTGAAATTGATTGCAGAACCTGCATTCTTAGATCGCAGATAATACATCCCTGTTTTAAGCCCCTGATGCCCAGAAACAAAAATATGAGGCAAAATTCAAGAAATAGCAATGAATTTACAATTCTTTGCGTAGTATAGCATTCTACTTCTATTTCTTTCTATTTGCAGCATTGTATTTTGACTTTTTTTTGTTATTAAGGTGATGGAATGCTGCCCAACTATAGGCAGCATTATGCTTGCATATTTTTTTATTTCTTATTAGGGCATTGTACTTTGAAAAAAACTACCTAATTATGGCACTGAAAGCTGATTTTTATTTGGATGATATTGCTACAAGCATATAAGTGGGTGGTTTTTCAAAGTACAATATTGTGATAGAAATTAATATATGCAGGATGCTATAGTAAACAAAACAATGAAAGTACACTGCTTTTTCTTGCATTTAACGCAACCATACATTTTTATTTTCCAAACAAATTAGCAAATAACAGAAACAAAACTTAATCTGGTGAACTATATGGGGCTAAAATAAATGCAAGAAATGGCAACATACTTCCATTTACATGTTTGTTGTATCATTCTACTTGGAGTTTTTTCCGTTAGTGCATCACTTTCCCCTTTTTTTTCTTTTTATTAAGGCATTGTACTTTATAAAAATGACCTAAACCCTTTATTTTCCCCCAAGCGTTTAATTTAATCATTTTCTCAAATATTTTTTAAACAAAGCAGTTGATGTGGCTGGGGGATGGCTTACTGGCAATTTCAGCAAATAATAAGTCTAACTAAAATAGTTGAAGTACCTTAGACCAAGCCTTAAAGTGCAGTGAAGATAGCTTGTCAGTGTCAAGTTGAGGGATATGAATACTTAGACTTTGGCTCTGATCAATGTAGCATCCACGGTCAACAGCCATGTCAACCAAAGTCTCTGGGTTGATCTCCCAAACAGTTCTGAAATCATTAAACAAAAACAAGGTCGGAAAGAGCCAAAGAGGAACAACTTTAATACAAATAAAATAAAAACAATAAACAATGTACGTACTTGTAAATAGCTTTCAAATCTTCAGGGAAAAAAGGAATTTTCTGAACAGAACCACCACCAAGGATAATTTGATCCCGGAGAAAGGGAGACCAAACACCCATTTCAGTCAAGTCATGAAGCAAATGCTTGTTCACCACAGAAACATGAGCACTGCAAAAGACAGTTACCGGTCAACCACTATACATTATTTAGTTAAAAATCAAACTTATTAGATGCTAAATTAAAATAAAATACATATTTTCTTGTTATTTTAAAAAAGTGTAAGTTTAATTTACATAAAATCATAGTTTTCATTTAAACATAGAAACAAAAACCAGCTATATTGGAATTGCTCACTGATTCCATCATTCCAAACACTACCTAACGCAAGATCATAGTATCACGCACCCTGAAAGATTTTGAGTGTAGAGATTGGAGGTGATTGGCGCAAAGCACTCATTATTTCCGAGAATTTTGCTTGTTAAAGAAGTTGGCACGAGGGCCACAAGTTGGGAATTCCGCACACCATTCTTCTTTATCATTAAACGAAGATTATCCCAGTCCCACTTTCCTGAATGCCTCGTTACCTTCCACATGTCTGTTTGGAGAATCCCCTACACAAATTAATAATAATTTAATAAACCCAATTCTCTAAGTATCACTGTTTATTTCCAAAGACACAAACCTCGCTAACAGGACTTCCCGTATATGAACCATAGGCGCCTTTTTGTGCAGCTAACTCACATGAAGTTTTTAGGGCACTATAATATATCGTCTCAAATATTTCTTTATTCAACTTTCGGGCCTAACAAAAAATAAAAAGAGAATCAATAATCAACAGCTCATTTGAGGGCAGGGTTATAAAATAAGACAGTGAAAACAAGTATTTAGTATTTACCTCTTCTGAATCATATGCCATACCAAGCAATATAAAAGTATCTGCAAGACCTTGGACCCCAATTCCAATGGGCCTATTATTTAAATTGGACTCCTCTGCAGTTGCAATAGAGCAAAAGTTCACGTCGATAAGTTTGTCAAGATTTCTGGTAACAACTGATGTGATCTGCCCAACACAACACAAATACAGATTTACAACTATGCTGAAATAACAGATTATATGGCTACATGCAAGAAATAGCCATTGATTGTGTGGTATTACAGCCTCCTACTTTCGTTTCTTCCTATAACGCCATTGTATTTTTTGGCAGTGTCTTTGAATAATCTACGCCAAAAAAAAAAAAAACATTGTTCTATAGAATAATTCATATACTTGGAAAAATCAACACAATTATAGCAATGAAAATTGATTTGTGTTTGAATGACCTTGCTATAATGGAGTATATTCTGAAAGTACAATGCTGGAATAAACAAATCAATGGAAGATTGGAAGTGTGTTGCTACTTCTCATCATAACCCTCGATAAGTTTCAAAACTAAACCTCGGCTAGTTTTGCAAAATCAAAATTCCGTTTGGAAGAATCTCTGCTACCAACAAGCTTTGGTGGTTGAGATACACCCTGAAACAAAAATATATCAAATACAAGTTCAGATGAAGCATAACCAAATTAAGATGGGCTACGACCCTTTTGTTTTGTTACATGAGACACGACTGAAAGAGTTTTATTGTATTTGACATGACACATCATCAAATCCAGTCACCTATGTGTAACAGATGC